GGGGGGGGGGAGAGGGGGAGAGATGGGGGGAAGAGAGGGAGAGAGAGATAGGGGGGAGAGAGGGGAGGCAAACGATTAGAGGAGAAAGAAGTTAGCAAGTTACGTTATTTGCTCACAAACAGCAGAAAAATTGGCAATGACGCATGTGATATTTGCTCTTTATAAACCCTTTGCTTTGTAGTTCTGGTCACCATAGGTGCAAAAACAATGAACATTTTAAGAGTCTGAATCTGCTAATCTTTGTCTATGTAGTTTGCAAGACAATAAAATTTGTTAAAAATGCAATTTTATTTCATGCACAAAAAACAGAAAACTTTAAATTTAAATTTATATCTTAATTTTTTTGTCCTTATTCAGAAATTTGTTTCTTCCACTTGTGCCAAGTGGACCTTATCTTCCCCTCAGGTGCATATGGCACCCTATCCTCTCACACATAGTTTCAGATACCTTGGGCTGTCACAGAAACCCCCTAGCCCGGTACATGCAGCACCATACCCCACAACATCCATCCTCAGCAGTATAGAGAATCTTAGCCTCCCTCTCCATCGTTATACATAACTCAAAAAATGCAGGGAGAACAAAATCAGCCAAAAAGCATTCCAAAATGTCAAGCTTCACTCTTAACAGGCTCCCCCAAAACATGCAAAAGAAAATACAAACTACACGTTGTCTTCCAGAGAACGTTGCAATTCGCTGTGGACGTACTTTGGGAGAGTTCCTGCTGGTGTAGTGTAAGAAACGCAACAGCCTATTTATATAAAGCAAGCCCCACAAACCACAGTGGGAAAACAGTTGGATCACACTTTCAGAAATATTAACTATTTAACTGAGGGACAAGCATTGGTTTATAGGCCTTATCGTCCTTGCTCTATAACCATTCTTGATGCAGGGAAGTAATTGTAAGCAGTTTAATTGTAAAGTTAAGCAAATTCCGAAGAAAAACGTTACTTGAAAAGGTTACTCTCCACTATATAGTTTTACTTTTAAAACATCCCCTCTGACGCCGCACTCTCTTTGTACAGGCTGCAGTGAAGCCTGGAGACCACTCAGTTCACTGATTTTCAACAGATTGGGTAATCGACAGACCACAGCAGAGCTGGGAGAGCTATTTGGAAACAAAGAGACACTCACAATCGCAGAGTCATACAGCATGGAAACAGACCAGTCCGTAACTACTCGAACAGCACCATGAGACAAACAAACCGCCCGCGCTCAGGACGGGGAGGCGGCGGGGGACACCGGCAGTGCCCGGGCTCGGGGGGGGGGG